ATTATTTTCCATAACTAGAACCCAAACTCCTTTCGGTATTTATACGAGCAACGCGCGGCGTTCGACCTTCAACCTGTTGGTGTTTCGAGCTGATAAGAAGCCAGTGGAGCCACGTGTTTGAACAAGTCGGTATTTTACTTTTCTCGTTTTGAATTTATCGTATTCCATTTTATTTTCAAGCTACATCTAACGTGGATATTTACACTAGTTACAATTTGTTTTTTAGTTATGGATAACCAAGATAATTTGTATGCTACTAGTGACCTTCAACCTCTGACCCCACACGTGCAAGGTTCAGGAGTCGAAGTCGATCCTGGGTGTTCTTCCGAAACACAACCAGGTTTTCTTCATACGCATTCGTCGTTAGATTTATTGAATGTACGAAGAGATTTAAACGAATTGACTGGACTTTTTAAAGAGTTCGTTAATTATAATATAGGCAGGGATAAAGAGCGGAGTTCTTCCTGCACAGCTGTAAGACCTGACCAGCATTCACCAACTCGTCGCAAGAGGTCTTATGATGAAATGTCTGTATGTCAGACCCATAATTCATTTGAGCACGATTCTGTGTCTCACACAAAATGTTATCCGGAAGCTTTTTCTTCCGTTGAAAATCAGGATGCTATATCATCCAAACGTTCAAAGCGAGTGGATATTGACTCGTTGTTTCATGTGCCTTCCACAGTAAATTCTGAGGCATCTGTCCCAGATCTTAATATGGAAGAAGAAGTCTTGGACTTTGTTGATAATGAGTTATCCGAGGCAGTTTTAGACAAGAAAGGCAAGGGTCTTTCCTCTGATAAGCTGGCCTCAAAAATTGAGGAACAATGGAAAAATCCCAGCAGAAAAGCAGTTGCTCAGGTTTTTAAGAGGCACAAGCACCCTCTTAACCTTGAGAGTATTTCTGTTCCAGCTATGCCAAAGTTGATAACGAAAATGCCTTCATTTAAGGATTCTGTTTTGGCTAGGGAGAGGAAATTATATGATGTTCATCATTCTGTTGCTAAATCCTCCCACATAATTTCAACTTTGGCTGATGATTTACTTCTTGCAGAAAAGAATCATAGCCTTATTGACACAAAGGCTATTGTTTTGAAAGCCTTTGATGCACTATCTGTTCTTTCTAATGCCAGTGTCAATATCTCAAATTTACGAAGGCTTAATATAAGACCTATACTTAACAAGGATGTACAGGGACTATGTGACCCTACTCGTGAAGTCTCAAACCATTTGTTTGGAGACGACATTGAAAAACGCCTGAAGCAAGAAAGGGAGTCTAAACGTCTTGCCTCTGCTGCTACTCAACCGATGCCTCAGTCTACTAGGTATAGACAACATGATAGGCAGATACCAGTGTTTAATAGGCGAACACAGCACTCTTTTTATAATGGCCCTACTCAGCAGTCTTTTTTAGAGAAAGGCCAGAAGTCTCGTCCATATCGGCGGAAGCAGAAGCCCTACAAGGGATAAATGTAAATAATTTCATTTCATTTCTCCCTAAACTGACAAAATATCTTTTGTACAAGATTGACATATTTAGAGCAGGTGCACTTAAAAATCATCTGGAACGTTGGTATACTGTCACTAGTGACTTTGAAACTTTACAAACTGTAGCTGGTTTACAGCTTGAATTCTCATTGCCTCTCAATTTTGAGAGAAATTATGCTGTGCCATTTTCAGCTGAAGAAAATGAGTTTATTCTAGCAGAGATTAAAACATTACAGGATAAACATGTTATAACAGAATGTCATCATGAAGGAGATGAATTTATCTCCCCAATTTTTCTTGTCCCAAAAGATGGTGATTCTTTTAGACTTATTCTTAATTTGCGGAAATTGAATGAGTCTATGCCATATATGCATTTTAAGATGGACACCTTTGACAAGGTTATCAAATTAGTTAGACAAAATTGTTTTATGTGTACTGTAGATATAAAGGATGCTTATTATTCAGTAGCCATATCTGAATCCTGTCAAAAGTATCTGAAGTTCAAGTATCAAGACAAACTGTTTAAGTTCTTAGCGTTACCAAATGGATTATGTTCTGGTCCAAGGAAGTTTACAAAATTATTAAAACCTGCTTTAGCGTTCTTGAGAAAGCAAGGTTTCATTGTCTCAGCATATATTGATGATATCATAATAATTGATGAATCATATGATGCTTGTATTAAAGCTACTGTTGAAACAATCAAATTATTGGATTTCTTAGGTTTTGTTATTCATCCTAAAAAATCTAATTTTATTCCTTCTAAGTGTGTTACCTATCTAGGATTTACTATCAATTCAGAAACAATGAATGTCACCCTCCCATCAACCAAAGTATTGAAAATTAAAGATAAATGTTCCAAATTGTGTATGTCTAATAACCTATCAATAAGAGATGTTGCATCAGTGATAGGCTTAATTGTGAGCACATTCCCTGCTGTTAAATTTGGGCCTTTACACTATAGATCATTAGAAAATGACAAAATTCAGGCACTAGCTATTTCTAAGGGCAATTTTGACCATGCAATGTCACTGTCTAAAACAGCCTATGATGACTTAAGATGGTGGATTGATAATGTTGAAAGCTCATTTAATGACATGGCAATCTCTAATCCTGAAATGGTTATTGCTACTGATGCCTCATCTACTGGTTGGGGAGCTGTCTTAGGCAGTACAAGGACAAGAGGGGTTTGGAATCTCCATGAGCAACAACTCCATATTAATGTGCTTGAGCTAAAGGCTATTTTGTATGGGCTAACTTCTTTGATTGACCAAAGGAATACACATGTTAAAATTTTGACTGATAATATGAATGCAGTACACAGCATTAAAAATATGGGATCCTGTCGTTCTTTGGCTTGTAATGAAGAAGTGAAGCAAATTTGGAATTGGGCTATCCAGAATCAAAACTGCATATCTGTGTCCTTCATCCCAGGAGTTCAGAACTATTTAGCTGATGCTGAATCTAGAAACTATGAGCTTCGAACAGAATGGCAGTTAAATCCATCTGTGTTTAAATTTGTAATCAAAAAATTAAATGTTACCTTAGACATTGATTTATTTGCCTCTAGAATCAATTGCCAATTTAAGCCTTTTGCATCGTTTTGGCCAGATCCAGAGGCTTCAGCAATTGATTCGTTTACATTTAGCTGGTCAACCATTAAATTTTATGCCTTTCCACCATTTGCAATTATTCCTAATGTTTTACAAAAGATTTGTTCTGACAATGCAACTGGTCTTCTAATTGTTCCTAATTGGCCATATAGTCCCTGGTATTCTCTGTACAATAGAATGTTGATTTCTGAACGAATTGTTATTCCTTCCAGCAAGCATCTAATGTTACTGCCAAACCGTCCACAAGCTGTGCACCCACTACAGAAGTCTCTGCAACTGCTAGCTGGCATGATATCTGGAACAAAAGATTACCAATAGGTATATCATCTGAAGCCAAATATATAATTGATTCATCTTGGTCATCTGGTACTTCAAAACAATATTCTACCTATTTAGACAGATGGTTTGTTTACTGTCAAAGAGTGGACATATGTCCCACACATTATTCTATTAATCATGGAATTAACTTCCTAACAGAACTATTTAACAAACATAATTTGGGCTACTCTGCTATGAACACTGCTCGTTCAGCATTATCCAATATTATGACACCAGATACAAGTTCGTCATTTGGTAACAATCCACTCGTTAAGAGATTACTGCGAGGGATGTTTAACATACGGCCGAGTATTCCTAAGCATGTTAACACTTATGATGTTGATGTTGTGTTACAGTATCTAAAGGGCCTAGGTGATGCAGATGCTATTCCATTTAAAATGCTTACCTTTCGTCTTGTAACATTGTTTTGTCTTCTATCAGGACAGAGAGACCAAACATTTGCTGCTATTGACATCAGACTTATGGATGTTTCTGATGACAGAGTTGTTTGTTATATTGATCAAGTTCTCAAAACAACTAGACCTGGTTTTCATCAGTCACCTCTTGATTTCCGTGCATTCCCTGATAGCAAGGCTATTTGTCCTGTATTTAATACACAGCAGTACTTGTTTAGATCATTCTCTCTACGTGGTCCGAGAGTGAAATTGTTTGTGAGTTATAAATCTCCTCATCAATCTGTTTGCACCTCGACCATTTCACGTTGGGTGAGAACCACTTTGCAATTGGCAGGAATTGATATTAATGTATTTACCTCTCACTCTACTAGGGCTGCATCAACATCCAAGGCACGAAGTATTGGCCTATCGCTAACAGCTATAAACAAAGCTGCAGGATGGTCGAATTCGAGTACTTTTGGACGTTTTTATAATAAGACAATTCATGAAAGTAACTTTGGTAGTAGCATTTTAGCCAATTTTGATTGTTAATATTGATTATTTGTGTGCGTACAATCGATCATTTCTCAGTTCAAGTCTTCTTGATCAACACATTGCCAGTCTCTTTGAAGTCTCGTATAAATACCGAAAGGAGTTTGGGTTCTAGTTATGGAAAATAATTAAAAAATTAAACAAACCTTGGTGTAGTTTGATGTAGATTATTTTCCATACCTAGAACCAAACGACGTGGGATTTATACGCCCACCCGACCCAAATAATTATGTATTTTCCCCTTTTTCTAGTGTTCATTTTCAGGACTGGCAGGCTCCACTGGTATGTCTTTGAATCAGGTCGAACGCCGCGCGTTGCTCGTATAAATCCCACGTCGTTTGGTTCTAGGTATGGAAAATAATCTACATCAAACTACACCAAGGTTTGTTTAATTTTTTAAT